TGAATATGTACAAGGAAAATTTGTAAAGGTAGAAGTGGTAATTGTGAGAGGTTATTGTGAGGATAACATTTAAAGGATGTCAGCAGCTAAAACTGAAATGGTAGACTAGGCAAAGGTTGCTTCCTCACTCATTGTTGTCAAAAACTACCTCTTTGCTTTATTAAGTATTCCAAAGCTATTGATAGCTTTTAATAGCTGAAAAAGCAGGCAAGAGCTGGCAAAACATTTTTAATAAATAATATGTATTTTCCACTTCTGATTTACAATAGTAGTTATGAACAATTTACAGTTCCAGTACCAAATGCAATCAAAGCTACGCTAAGGAACATCAGCAATCTAGAGCCTAGAGATGTGTATTATATGTAAATATACCTAGAGCAAATATGTAAATACAATTTGAAATAAACACTGTATTCTATATTTACAAAATTCTGTAGGTTGAGTTGGGATTTCAAATAAATATAACAAAAAGAACATTGTAAAAATATAAGTATAAAAATAGTTATAAACCTCAATTAGACCTATTTCGTACAAGCACAGAAGGCAGTAAACTTTAACAGAAGTAACTGTCAACCTTTGCAAACAACATGCTGTAAAGACATCTCATCCAGATTGTTTTTTATTTCTTCTGGGATTTGCTTCATTTACTTAATCAAAAATGTACCCCTAACTACAGCTATAATCCCTTAAAGCTGACCTATTTTTGTTGTTTAAACAACCTAAATCCTCTTTCTAATCCTAGAGTGTCGTTTTTGGTTTGGATCTGAAGCTTGTAAGACCTCTCACATGCTTTCTGTGAAAATATTTAGTCTGGGCCTCAGGTACTGGGAAGTCATAATGATAACATGTGCATTGGCAGATCAAGGCATGACTGGGAAACCCATCAAAATGTACATTTCCCACTGCAACCCCCTTGTATGTGTCCCTCCAGTTGTGATGTAACCCAAGGAGGGTAATGAAAAGAAATCTTGAAGGAGAAAGTTTCAGGCTCTGGAGGAAGATACTCCTTTGTCTTCTAGTTTCAGAGTTAATTGAAAAATAACAAGGAAGTGCATCCGTTACACACAGTTTTGCTGATACAATGAAATCCTTCAACAAGGTCATTGCAAGTTTGTTGGCTTAATAAAATTTTGTGTCCTCCTTCAGGAATTAACACCTGGAGGACACTCACCCAAGACAGTTGCACACCACATCAATTATCTACAGTGCACAACAGACGGTGAACTCGGACAAAATACAGTGTATGTTCTGTAGTTTTATATATCTCAAGTATTTTAATATTTTAAGAACACAATGCATGTGTTCATACTGTATATACTGTATGTTAACAAGATTATAAATAAACTATATACTTTATACTTTAAAGTATAAAATGCTGACTGTAGTCTAACCACTTAACCTGCTGTTTATTATTGACAGTGGATTTATAAAACAGAACATATTTATGATGAATTAGTGACATTTTTTTTCTCCAGCAAACATTTGAGCAACATATCAGCTCCCAAATTAAAAAGAGTGACAGACCCAATTTGGTCTAACCTAATACTGTATCGATACATTGTGTTACTTCTAATAAAGAATACATACAATATATAATATATAATGCATGTTCTTAGATTTGGAGAAAAAAACTTCTTGTTACTTGATGCTGTAATGGAATAAGAACATCAGAAGGGGCACAACTGCATCAATTGTGGTGGTCTTGAAGAAATCTTGAATAAGGACAGTAGATCTGAGAAGGATATGAAGGAACCATTCCATTGTTGATCAACATCACATTGCTATGCTGTAGAGTTGCCTCTGGACAGACTGTTACTGCAGCTGAGCTTCAAGCTTTTTACAGCATATCATCACTTTACAACCTACACAGAAAAACATGAATGAGATGCCAAACATTAGTTCACGAAGTAGTACAGTATAGACATGACGATTGCAGCTTAAGAAACTATACCCTGAACCATCAACAC